GGAAAATGTGTACGAACTCAGAACAATGAAGGTAAGTTTATCGAAAACCATCCTTCGGAGATGAGGACAGTTATTTTCTTGTGCAGTAAAAATGCACGAAAGTTTATTTTACGTCAAGTAATGTTTTGAACAGCTTTTATCTCTCGAACAGCCATAGGTATGAGAGTTAGTTTCTCACTTGAAAAAATGCGCAGGTACAACATTTTAAAAGGTACCTCTAATTAGTTTGATTTTCATCGATTGAGGGTAGTACTGGAAAGAACTGTTCAATGCCGGTTACAATGACTGACGTTTCGACAACCTGTGCGGAATTCGAAGTCATCATCAGAGTCCAGTGAGGAGTTGCAGGGTTAAGAGTTGTCTTCTGTGATGTCACAGGTTAAATTGATTGTACAGTACTGGTCGAACAATTTTGTTTCACTCAATTTCATAACTTCTGGAAATCTGATTGAGTTTTATTGCCACGCGATTACTTCCTGGGGATGGGACCTCTTTATGATTAGCCTAAAATATTACTATCTCTGATGATGCTGATTATTGCTTCATACATGAAACACCGATTTTACAATTATGAGGAATAAGGTTAAAAGCATTTGAACGTGTTAAATAAATGTCATCGCTGTTTCCAAAGGTCAAGATGAGGGCATGGAAATGCAAGTCATCGAAGAAGGTACGAAACATTTACTCAGCTCAAGAAAACGTGCGGGAAAGTCGCTTGATTCTTTTGTGAATTGTTCGGGTAATTCGGCAACACAAGATTACGGTAAGGCACAGTTAGGGAGTGGGAACCATTAATTTCTTTTCCCTTCCAACACTTTTTTTCCCTAAAGGAGAAATTTTTGCTTAGTTGTTGCATTTTTGACATACAATCAATAGTAGCAATAACAAAGATGAAAGTTCCCTTAACGAAAGTTCCGCAAATGTGGCCAAAAATCGATTATTTTCGAAACATCGTGGCAACAGCCAAAACTCGATTCGGCTCATATTCTCAAGTTAGATGGGCTTCACAGAGAAAAAAACAATACTGCTTACTTTGTTTGGCTGAATATCGATTTATTTTCTAGAAAATCGATAATAGCTGAATTCAACCTAAATGTAACTGGGAAGAGTAGTCAACACCTCCTGATAACGATTGTTTACAAATCGTGTCTCGGGGTTTCTCTATACCTGTCCAATTTCGTTGAAAAGGAGGCTGTAATTACTTCGAGAGATTTTTGTTTAGATATATAGGATATATACATAAAAAAATAAAATGAAAATAAGTCTTCAACCGAACCGCGAACTACATGTAAGCGGAAGGTTGCCGAAATGCATTTTACCGCTTTTGGAGAGACTGCCCCTAAATGATATTTAGAACAAGTGAGACGTGCTGAAATGGATACCTGAGCTGTGTTCAAACGCTAGTCGTGTGTAACAAAATTTCGCTTCTCTTATTTTCTAATCTTGATGAAATACGGAGAGTTAGCTAGTTATTTTAAGTAATATTTGCCACTTGGACCCCAATTTAAGTGAAAACCAATTGCAAGCTGAAGTACTTCGAATCAGGATGTAAAAGTTTTTCGTTTTCTTTCTTCAATGGAAGGCTCAGTTGGCTGTTAAGGATTCCTTTTTACTTCCTTTTCTATAAAGTTCCTTTCTATATCAAAGAAACTTATTACCAAGAACCCGTAGAAACTTAGATAAAAAGTACTGATAATGGAGTATTCTTCTGTTTTGGTCTTCCTTAAATCATGTGCATGGTGTTATTTATCCTCTGTTCATTCATCCGTTTGTTCACTTAGGTTCTGCTGAGTTAATTGCTCAGCTTCAGCAGATGCAACTCGATGCAAGCAAAGTCAATGACAAGACAGACCTAAAAAATGAGTTGAAGAAAATTTCTTCAGACAAGGGCTTCAGAATTGTTGACAATGACGGATCAGGAAATTGCATGTTCTATGCTTTGTCAGATCAACTGGAAATTGCTATGAGAATCAAGATCAAGCATGACGAATTAAGACAAATGTTGGTCCAGTACCTCCGAAAAAACCCGGAGCTAGTAAGTTGATGTCTTACACTCTGGGTTAACCACTGTTAATTTAGGAGCACCATAAACATTAACTACCTCAGTGTCGGTGAAAATGATGGATAATCACCTTGCCTCTTTGCCTCGGTACATACCCACCCCTATTCACCTTTATTTCCACGAATGATATTGTAATATNTGATGTTATTGGCTGTAAGACTCAAGTGACGTAAGTCGGTCGTGATTGGTCTGTTTCGATCTGTCGGTAAAGTTAGGTCGTTCTTTTTCGGTCGTTTGTGATGTTTATGTCGTGAATGAGTCGTTTGTATGGGGCGGGTAGTTGTTGACATCTGTTTAGGGGAGTCTGTTCTAAGTTAGTAAACCAGCTTTCCAGAGTCAGTCGTTGAAAATAGTCAGTGCTGTAGGTTAGGCATTGCGCAGAGTCCCAGTCAATGTTGTGGTTGGTAAGTCGATGGTGTTCAGCAATGTGATTGCTGACATCACCTTTCCTCTTCGCCCGTCTGTGTTCAATCAGTCTTGTTGTAAGGTTTCTGCCAGTCTCACCGATGTAGGAGGCTTTGCAGTCTTTCTGTGGCTCTCCCACATACCAACTATCCAAGTACCTGACGACAATACTACAAACGCTAACCGACAAATCCAGACATAAACTACAATCCACTGAAGACTTCATTAATGCTACAAAGACTGTTCAGATACCTGACGACTACAAACTAGTGTCATTTGATGTGAAATCACTGTTCACAAGTATTCCACTTCAACTGGCATTACAATGCACTGAAACTGCAATCCGAAGAATTGCTCAAAATTTTGAGCTTCAAAAGCGGCATTTTGGCGGTATTCAGTTATCATGGATTTTCTCGAAAATAAATCGATATTCAGCCAAACGAAGACCAATTTAGTTTTAAAATATGGGCGAAATTGATTTTTCAGATGTTGCCACCAAATGTGTGAACCGTTGGTAACATTCACTCTTAAGCACAGACATGCGGCGTCGTGTTTATAAATCAGATGAACTAATTAATAATAAACTGGAGGAGGCGGCGTGGCCGAGTGACAAGCGTGCTGGACTTGTAAATCCGGTGTCCCGGGCTCGAGTTCTCCACCCTGCCATTTACTAGATTTGTTCTCGGTTGCCCCTAATTCAACTCTTCGGCTGCGCCCTATAAATAACCCATCGGTCTGCCTCCTGCCTGTGAGGATTTTTAAGCACCTAGTTAGTCTACATTGTAGCTGAAAAGCCCCTACGGAAGAGCTTTAACTAATGTATTTATTTATTCATTTATTTATTTATTTATTTTATAAATCAAGTGAATAACAAAGAAACAGGTAGCTATATCCAGTCGCAGGCTTGTGTAGTTCATATTACTGAAGACGAAGTTCGGCTTAAGCTCCTTGAAAATAATGACTACTTCATGAGTGAATAACGCGGTTGTTGCTGACGTTTTTCTCTGCTTGTTTGTTCGTTTTTCGCCAGCTCAACATCAGGGAATGGAAATGAGAGTTATCGAAAAAGGTACGCACTTAATTCACCTCTCCACAGACTACAATAAATTTGAGAACGCAACATCTTGTAGTCGAAAACCAATGAACACTGAGAAATTCATGTAACTTAAAAAGTTTGGGATGACCTTTTTTTTTCAATTTGCCTTAATCTAGGGAACGTGTAAAAAGTCATTTGACCTCCAGTTTGAAGTTTACCTACCTCCATATTTTGAGCCAGTTTAATGACTGCAATTTTCCGCTGTATAATAAATTTGATTTTACCTAACTTGATTCTCGTTTGTTATCTAGAGAAGAAAAGACTCTTAGACGAGGTCACCACTAACAACGCGTCTATTTTTATTATAAAAACAAATAGATTCCATGATTCCGTGGGTCTATTTTGAAATTGCTCATAGAAAACGTCAAAATGGGCTTGGAAAATCCCAGACACACCCCGCTAAGCCCCGTATATCACATTTTGACGTCATCTGTGTTTATAACTGAACTGACGCATAGCAACATAGAATCTACTTGTTTGTTCGACAGTGAAAATTCTACAAATAACGGTTTTAAGGTATTAGAGAGAAAGGAGATATTCGGAAAGAGCAAACCCGGAGCGCAAACGATTAGGGATGGAGAAGTTACACGATGCGGTTACCAAGCGTTAAAAGGAACGACATGGCTTATCCAGCGATCTAAAGCCACGAGAGGAAGAACTTCGTAAACTTATTTCCCTTTTTGTGTTTTCTTTGTTGAACACAGTACAAAATCAAGAAGAAACGGGGAGCGCAGACGATAGTGAGGACGAATCGCAAGAAGAACAAGGAGAGGGTGAGCAACATGCAGGTTCAGGCCAAGAGAATGAGGAACCCACTGAACCTCAGCAAACTGAACCTGAACAAGGCCAAGAACCAAAACAAGGCCAAGACGAAGCTACTGAACAACGGCAAGTTGAACGAGAACAAGACGAAGAACCAAAACAAGGTCAAAAGGAAGCCAATGAACAGGAGCAAGTTCAATCTAAACGAGACGAAGAACCAAAAGATGACAACAAAGCACCCACTACAAAGCAGGAAGTTGAACCAGATCAATCAAAGGGAAACGAAGATGTATGTGAACAGCAGCCAAAAGAAGAAGAGCTGAAAGAAGACCATGAAAAACCTGGGCGGGAGCAAGCCGAAACTGCGGAAGAAGAGCCAAAGAGGGACAACCAGGAATTCAAACAGCAGCGCACTCAACAAGAAGAGAAAAAAGAACTTAAAGCCGACCATGGGCTAAAGGGTGGTGCTAAAGAAGACGAAAAGTCCAAAGGAAATCAAAAGGAAGGTGAACAGCGACAAGAAGAAAATGAGGAAGATGAACAAGAACAAGGAAAGAAATATGAAAAAACTGAAGAGCAGCGAGTTGATTGTGATCGAGAGGAGCGAGAAAAAGTCCATAATGATCCTAAACATGAAGAAAATGTACGAGAGAAACCAAGAGGAAGGTATGAGGAACTCAACCAAGAGCAACTATGTGACGAAACTTCAAAGCGAGGCAATGAGGACCCCCAACAACGGTGTAAGAAGTCTATGGAAAATGAGTCACCACGACACCAGCAGCTGATTATGGACGAAGGTATGTTTTACCACCCTCCGTTACGGCTAAATTTAAAGTTTTAGAGAATTAATTTCCCGTCCATCAGGCTGGGTGGAGGAAATATTTCTTCGTTATTCCAAAACTCATAGTTTTACCTTTTTTATTAGGTAGCAATGTGTCATTGAGGTGTCTTGATAGTGAGTTACTGTTTTGTTCAACAGAACAAGATGAAGAAGATGATATGGTGCTGGACACACATTTGTAACTGGTAGCACTGACTTATCAAGTCCTTTTAGTTCTAATCATTGCGATAGAAGTAGAAAGATTGCATACCGTTATGTCATAAAAATAATACATTTACTTAATCAAAAACACTTTCAGAGCCAGATAAGATAAGAAAAGTTTCAAAGCAACTAGTGCGAACCTGGCATGTTTGCATTCATTGATTGATCGTCCAGGTTGTCCGAAAGGGAGTGAGTGTGGTATGCCGAATAAGATCTCTTGAAGGCATGCTTACGGTTTTATCGTGCTCCAGTGTTGTCAGAAGTTTCAATAACTTATTTTATTTCAATATTATTAGGTTTACAAGTACTTACAGACACGACTTAGCTATTAACTCAGCATTCAGTTGCATACATTACTCATTATTGACTTCAGCCCTAGTGTATTATTTTCTAGGTGGCTTCTTTGTTATGACCATGTTAAGCCACTAATCGTATTTACACGTGTATTGAATGCACAGGTCAGATAATGCATGTTCATCAGTCTGTCTCATTTACTTACAATTGTTGTTAATGTATGACTTAAGTTGATTTTGTAGGGGCTTGAACAAAAATGACAAAACAAATGTATTGCAAAAGTGTAATCCAAGTGAGGATCTTATCAAAAGTGTTAAATGTTCTTGCCTTATTAAAAGAAATAATGATAATATATCATCCCTCACTTCTTTTGTTATCTAATAGTTCAACCATCCTGGAGTTCAATATAGTTTAAAGAATATCTCATAGCTGAAACGTCACCTGGAAAACATTTCAGTTGATGTAGGATTGTTTTCGGACATGGTGTCGCTTCTAGCACCAAGCTTCCACTCCTACTCTCCCCGTTAAGTTTCAATAGCCTTCCATTCGTCCTTAGGTACAAATATTTAGAATTAGTTTAGAATTTTTTTTNTATAGTTGCCACAGGGCCAACCCAAATGGTTTGTACCAAGGTGGAGGTCAAGCTCAAGGAGTTAGCTGGATTTCATTTCGAGGACTAGATTATTCGTTAAAGCGCACCAAGATCAAACTTCGGCCAGCATGATTTCTGTTGAGGCCATTCCTCAATAGTGTCCATATTTGTTCCGATTTTATAATTACATAATACCATGATGCTCAGCGTGCTTTTTCTTCGAATTTGGTGAGGCGTTCGTGAAAGAAAATGTGCTCAAACAATGATTTCACGCCGCTTTGATACTGTCTTGTCTCATCATTTGGTAAGATTGTTTCTTTATTTTTGTTTTTAGCTCCTTCGTGAATTTTGTTTCGTAAGGTAACTCTAGCTTTGCGTCGTGTACAGGTTGATTATGGCCTGTCAGCTTGCAATCCATGGTCGAGGCGTGCTATGTTAAAGTACAAATAAACTCGTTGAGTTCTACTAAACACTGGTTTCTCTCGTTGCTACGAGCGCCTCATATGTTCGACTGGACAATTGTTTCATTTGTACAAGTTGTCTTTAAGCTCTCAGCTGGCACAATCTTACAAGAGTTAGAGATGTCTGCTATGCGTACAGTGACTCTTTTCTACAGTGGCTTATCATGATTGTAACATCGCTTTTAGTGAGGTGTCATTAACCGAGACGGAGTTTACCGGGCTTAATTTTGATGAAAGGATGCCACAAGCTTTATAGTCTGTAATGCAGTAGAACAGAAAAAAATAGATTAGTACTTTTGTATAGATCATCGCTACAGCCGACTGATCTCTCTCCTAAGCCAACGAATAAACTTTGTAATCAATTATTGGTAGCTACATGAGGAAGTGAATTAAATGCTTATAAAGTCCTGACGAAAAAAAAAGGAAGATCTATACCACACAATATGGAGAAACTCCTGAAATTAATTCAATAAGACTTTTCCCACCGTTTTATTGCCTTCATTTGACAGAATTGCGTTAATTCGGCTTGCTCTTGCTAAGATGATACAACCACAGGCGGCCCAGGCTCTGTCACAGGCTCTGTTGGTTACGAAGCGGTCAAACTAAACACTAGCAACACTGATCATGACTAATCATTCATATCGTGGGGCTACCCGTTGGGCCTACTTTTGATAGTGTCCAGGCCGACCGCGTCGCAACGAACTTTTGACTACACAGGATTTGACAGACGCGCTTTCTAATGGCGTTGAAATGGCGGTCAGTTTGAGAATTTCGCTGGGCTGGTTCCTCGACAACCCAGCTTTTGAGGGATTTGTTTTAGTGAACCTGAAGGGCAACTATTTGGCTTTCGTGCTACCAAGTTTCGATTCAAGGGGAAGTATTTAAGAGTGTTTTTCGAACGATTTTCGCGAGCGTGTGTGAGACAGAGCTTTCCTACTTTCCCTTTTATTTGGTAGTGCTAG